TACTCGCCGAATCCTGATCACGCAGGAGCAAGTCACCGTCGTCGCCCTAGACACGTCCTTACGGATCCATCAGATCCAATAACTCTTGCATTAGATACCTTCAGCTCTAACACTAGGAGCAGGCTGAGGAACCCCGGTAACCGTACTCGTCGAACTCGACAAAGAGGTCGACGTGCAGCCTAACCCATGCATCAGCCCGCTGAGTTTCTCGCCGGATCTTCTCAGTGGGTCGCGATTCCGATCCGGTAGTAGATTCATTCGCGAAGCAACTGCTCTTGAGTTGTTAGGTGTCCTTCGGAGGCGCTCGGGCAGTTGTTAGCAAATCCCACCCCTCCTGGCTGAGCCTTTGCTCGCCCACCTGTCCTGGTGAAGCTGGAAAGGCCTCCGGGCCACCAGTAGTCTCTCAATCATAAAAAAAAGAAGGAAAAAAAGCCGGCATCCAAACCCAAAGCTACATAAATTTGATTTTAATTGACTTCATAAAAGGAGATGGTTCTCAATTCATTGGGATCTATTATTTATTACATTAATCGAAGACGGCAGCACTCCAAAAAGTATACGGTATCGATATTACTATAAGTTTAGGAGGAAGCAGCAAGCTCAAAACAATTTATGGAGTACATACAGAAAAAATATTCGGTACCAATATAATCTCAAATATAGAAAGTAGTCATGTAATTAGTGGAATGCATAGAATAAATACAGGACAGTATACGGAACCGATATATCCATACATTTGGATGGATGTCGAAAAACTGATTAATTGTATGTAACAAATACAGAAATATACAATGTGACACATGATTTCCATCATGAACGGATGCAAGGAACCAGCGAGAATTAATTCAAATTGAATATCTTATTTTCGAATTTAAATAAAATATCTTTTTGGTAATAGAATTCACACGACACCAATGTAACTACCTAGTCAGGTCATAAATTCTGTCACATGTTTAATGTAAAATAATTGAAACAAGTTTATTCATTATGTAACCATTCATATACCAAAATGAACTTAACAAAACATAGATTCTTATGACACTAAAGTTTATTCAAAATGACCTCCGTGATTTTGAATACAGGCCTTCAATCTGCGCGGCTAGTCGTCTATCGCAGCACGAACGAGGTCCATGTCAATATCGGCGGCTGCCTTAATCAAGGATGTCTTGAGTGACTCCAAATTGGGATGAGGCTTTGAGCACGCCTTTTCCTCCAAGTGTTGCCATATCTTGTAATCTAACGGATTCAAATCTGGACTGGAGGAGGGCCAGTCTTCGTGCCGGATGAAGTCGATTTCACGCGCCGCCAGCCAGTCTTGTGTGCTCTTCGCTCTATGAGCTGGCGCCGAATCTTGTTGGAATACCCAGTGCCTGTTATTGAACATGGTATGAGAAACAGGTTCCACAAGGTTCGTCAGGACTGTATTTTGATACACAACTGCATTCGTTTTTACACCTTTCTCACAAAAATGTACCTCTGTTAAGCCCCAATAAGAAACTCCCAACCATACCATGAGCGAGGATGGAAAATGACCTCGTTGGACACGCGGAATACGGTTGCTCGCTTCTTCACTACTGTGTGCGTACACCTTATCATTTTGTTTGTTGTAGCTCTCTTCTACGGTAAAAAATTTTTCATCCGAAAAAAGAATTTCCCGATATTTTTTTCCCGCGTACCGCTTCAACAAAGCGCGGCATCTCTTCAGTCTCAGGTCCATTAGACGAGCATTCAAACGATGTCCTGTTTTTCTTCGATATGCCCGAAGCCCTAAGTCTTCATTTAACACCCTTTTCACCGTGGTTGTGCTTAACCCCATCTGAAGGGTCAACAGTTTCTGCTTACGTTTGGGATTTCTTTGAATTCGCGCCTTCACAGCTTTTATCACTGCTGGAGTCCTAAAAGACCGAGGGCGACCACTTCTTGACCTGTCATCTACACTAGAGTCTTCATTGTATCGTTTGATGGTACGATAAACGAATCTTTTGGTTATATTAAAATTTTTCAGTATGTTAAAAATTTGAATTGGCGCGTAACCGCAACGATGCAACGCAATAACTGCAACACGGTCTTCTCACAATGAGTAAAATTCTAAAAGTATACATTTTTATTTTCATGAACAATTCGATATTCGAATTCAGATGTTTGTTCTTTTTTTTTTGTTTTTTTGTTGTTGTTTGTCATTCTTTTGTTAATGCACCTACCATGCATTATCTCTGCACCACCCTATGGTCGACTGGAAGAGAAAGTCCATGGCATTAAGTCCGCCTGTGTACAAGTTTTGTTTTGTGCATAAAGTATAAATAAATAAATAAATACTTGAGCTGTACACATCTATGAAGATGCTAGTGGTCTTTGGAGATTTTAACGCTCACCACCAATTGTGGTTGGGGTCTAGAACGACTGATTTCCCTCCGTGGTTCGACTGCCTATGATTTCGCATTAGCGTACGGTTTATCCCAGCTAGTAACACATCCCATGTACCGTGTCCAAGGTCCTAGACATTGAGGGGCACGAGCATTCTTTGTTGTATCTTCAGCTGACCAATCATCCAGTTGGATACAGTATGGTGGTCGACGTTCCACTCGACTCGTCTGATCTTTTGAGGTACCTGTCGGGAGTCGCATCAGACCCATGTGTTTCAATAGGGATGCTGTACTTCATAAGACGTTGGGATCCTTAGGTCTCAGGAAACGCAGAAATATAACGCCGTTTCCAGGTCCAATATGAGGGCTATTTCCAAGGCGAATTTAGAGAACGTTAGCAACATTGGCGAGGTACTCAAAAATTTGTCTTCCGAGAGCCGTGCTTTTAGTCGCTCCCTAAAGGTGCAGAAGTGAACTTTTGCCAGTCTAGTCTACCGCCATTGCGCAAAAACAATGACATTATGACCCATAGTGCGAAAGAGAAGGGTGACCTTTTGGTTAAACTCTTCACCTCGATCTCGACTATGGATGACGGAGGTGCCACGTCACCGAACATCCCTTGATAGGAAAGCACTCTTTCAGAGATCTGCTTCACACAGTGTGCAGTCAGACGAGAGCTCCGGGTCCTGCATGTACATAAGACAATTAATTTGTCAATAAGTCAATTTTAATACTGTATAAACTATTATATGTATGTATGTGTGTATATATGTATGTATGTATGTATTCGTTACCTAATATAAATTTCATTGCACCTACCACTATTTACTCTGCACTACCTTTGGTTGACTGGTAGAGAATGCCTTAGGCATTAAGTCCGCCAATGTAAATTTTACATGAAGTGTAATAAATAAATAAATAAGTCATATGGTATATTACAGTTCCGCTGTGGTTCTGAAAACGTGCGCTACCGGACCGACCCTAGCCAGTGGCCAGACCGGTGGCAATACGAGCATACGTCCCAACCCCTGTAGACGGCGGCCTCCCATTAGTGAAGGTCATGGGTTGACTTGTGACGATGCCGCACGCCACCCTACTATCGCAAAAACGACCAGTTGACGATGTATCGCCTCCCAACACAGCAAGCTGGTTCTGACCCGGCGGATATCCCAGGGCACCTGTTGAACTGGCTGGGCAGCCGACGTACCATTGCCGAAGCACCTGATTCATTCTTGGTATTGAAAAGAATACAACATACAAGTCTTTACATAAAAGACATGCATTTTCATCTCTAATTAATGGCTGGCAAATTCGTTTTTTTTTAATTTTTACAAATATGAATACCTTAAATTTTATCGTGTAATATTCCTAACTTGGTTAAGCAATTATGGTTTCCGTCACTCGAAAGACGAGCTTCAAGGTCTGATCTCTTCGCAGACAATGACTACATAAGGCAGCTGCTCCCATACTCAACTGGGACCGGGACCGTTCTGCCTAACTCATTTAATGTTTGTTGATGAATGTTTCCTTTGAAATAGCAATGAAATCATTCTAATTGACGTCAAAAACAAACAATAAGTCTTTCTTATCATATTTTTAAATATAAAAACCGCGAACTGGTGCCTTTTATAAACAGAAAGGTCAAACACTTAGAGAACTCTTGATAAAGAATATTATATAAAACATCGGGCAAAGTGTTGACTGTAGTTAATTTGAACATGGTGTTGAAAGTAAGTATTGCTTTTTTACTTGCCACTTACTTCTAATTACGTCGTTTATTTTAAATATTAAATGATACTTGGGCGCGGTCTGTTTCTCAAGGACTAATAATACCAGTCAGATAGGATAACGAATTGATAGATAGAGGTAGGCAAGGACTCATTCCACCAGTTACAAGTTTTTATATGAAATTTCACTGGACAATATAAAATTTAGATTTCCGAATAAATAATATGTAGGTACGTTTAAAATTTAGTGTTTGTGTCACCTCTTTTCAAAAATTTATCTTCGTTATTACTCAATGATATATTAATTGAATTTTCTTTTAGATTACTTGCCTCATACTCGCAGTGGCCGCAACTGTGCAAGGTTGGTATTTTTATTTCTTTTTGTTTTGTTTAAATAGATGGACGTGCTCACGCCTGATGTTAAGTAATCACTGGAGCCCATAGACATCAACTACGTTAATGCCGCCGCTCACCTTGAAACATGAGTTCTAAGTCCCAGTTTTAACGCTACAACGGCTGCCCCATCCTTCAAACCAAAACGCATTACTGCTGACGGCATAAATAGGCAGGTTAGTGGTACGGACTCACAAGATGTCCTACCACCAGTAATTTTTGCCGCAGTTATGATACGCGGCAGAGCTTGAGGCTTTTTAAAAAGAAACAAGAGAGCTACCGTTCAAGGCAGAGAATGGTTAAGGACTGATTTATTCATAAAGATTTTATGCTTATATACTATTAGACATTACCAACAAGGGGTTTACATTATTCTATTTCCTGATATTGAATACAGTGAATATTACACATACATGTTATCTAAACCTAATTACCAAATTTAAACGGTGATGATGTTGTGAACGCTATCTGGTTACATGGCGCTATTGTGTATTGTATATTGTATTGACTTCCACCGTGAAGGAACAACATCGTGTAACAAAAATCAAACCCGTAAAAATTAGAATTTCCATAATTACTGGTGGCAGAATCTCTTGTCAGTCCGCACGGGCAGGTACCACCACCCTTCCTATTTCTGCCGTGAAGCAGTAATGCGTTTCGGTTTGAAGGGTGGGGTAACCGTTGTAACTATACTGAGACCTTAGAACTCATATCCCAAGGTGGGTGGCGGCATTTTCGTTGTAAATGTCTATGGGATCCGGTTACCACATAACACCAGGTGGTCTGTGAGCTGGTCTGCCCATCTATGCAATAAAAATAAAATAAAAAATAAAATTATAAATACCTATGTGATAAACAAATATATTACAATAATTCAAATTTCAATTACGCATTTCAGGCCTTCCTCATCTCGGCTTGGGTGTTGGCGCTGGTGTTGATCTAGGCGGACATGAGCATGGGCACGGACCCGACTATGGAAACGCTGATGCCGAAGCTGGTTTGGGCGCTAATCTTGATCTTGGCGGGCATGGCTACGACAACAGCGACACTAAAGCTGATACAGTAGATGAAATCACTTGGCGTGATGGCGCTAAAGCCGGTAATGGTGTACATGAACGAGTATACACTAGAATTGGCAGGGATACACGAAACGCTGTTGATCATGATCTTGTACACGGAAAAACTAGAAGCAGTGTCGAAGCAGAAGGAACCAGTTCAGGCTTAAAAGGCTTCGGTCAAGGTGGCTTTGGAAACTATGGAGGATTTGATAGTTTTAGACACGGCGGTTCTGATTTCGATAGCTTTGCACATGGTAACTCCGGATTCAGTAGCTTTGGAAATCACAACCCCGGATTTGGTAGCTTTGGGAACTACGATTCTAGGTTCGGAAACTTTGGAAATCTTGACCCCGGATTTGGTAGCTTTGGGAATCACGATTCTGGATTCGGAAGCTTTGGAAATCGTGACCCTGGATTTGGTAGCTTTGGGAATCACGACTCTAGATTCGATAGTTTTGGGCATGACTCCATTTTCGATCACCGCGACTCTGGATTTGGTAGCTTTGGTAACTCTGGATCCAGTAGTTTTGGACATAATAGCTCTGGATCAGGTACTACCAGGAAAGACGATTCCAGTTCCACAAATCATGAAAATGTCGGTTCTAGTTTACCAGATCCTGATATAGATGAAGCTAAACTTGAAGAACATGTTGAAAATATGGCTAAGGATTTGGGAAGTATCGGTGCAGCTATTGGCGAAGGCCTAGTTACCAACATTGTGGCCGGCCTCAAGAGACATTGATCGAGAGGGCAATAACTCTAATCCCAATATTACAGTGCCTCTCATCTGCATAATTACATTACACATATTGTTTTAACTTTAATTCCTTTTTAATTTAATAAAAATTCTTTATAAGTACCCATTTTCTTTTCTGTGTATCGTTTACTAGATGCTTTTTCGTTATATTTTGAAATTGTAGTTAGGTAATTAAGATTTCATTAGGTTTTATTCATAAAAAAATTCATTCATTTAATTAGAATTTTTCCTATATTTAACTCGAGCTTTTTTTCACTTAAGCTTTTTTTATTAATCTGACTTCAATTATTAATTTGACATCTTAGTTGACATTTGTCATATCTATTCTATAAAAAATTTGACCTTAAATTAAGTTAAAGAAAATAATCAATAAGCTCCTCTTGGGATAATCTAAGACTGGGATAATCAAATGGAGCGTCAAATTAGTAAACTTGTCAAATCAATAAAAGACGAAAATTAATCAGTTAAATTGTGAATGAGTCAAATCGAAATTTAAGTTAAACTAAGCCTGGTTACATCCTTCTTTACTCTTCCCTACTCTTCTTCATTTTATGAAGATGGATTAGAGGTCCGGAGGCTTTTCCACTTCCACCAGAACAGGTGGGCGAGCAAAGACTCAGCCAGGAGGAAACTGTCTTTATGTCTTAGCAACGCTTTTATAGCTGACACGATATGTTTAGAATTTTCTCGAACTCTCTTGATAGTAATACTTGTTTTGATATCCGTTTCTGCTATTTGACGATAGATGGCGTTACTCCTACCGACATAGCAATACCGTTATTGAACAGCTAGATCAGAGTTTAGGAATTCGACATAATGATAATATTTTATATTACTGATAACCCTAAACTTGTTTTGATCACCTTTTTAGCGGAAAAAAACATGATCATATTTAGATGGGAAGGTCAAGCTCCCAAAATGCTTAGATTAAGACCACTATATAATTACATCAGTGAATAGACCATTGGTTATTTACACAATGGCGTTGAAGGTGAGTGTTCGTTTTTACTATTACGAGTATATTTTAACTTTTATAAAGCTAATTTAAACGAAACCTGTTTGCTACGACACAGTAATGCGGGATACAGATTAGGTAGCCGCCATTCTGAGAAAACTAGTCTGGCTGGCTATCTACACTGGCCACTTTTCGTTTGTTAAGAAAATTTCCTGAACCCATCGACACGAAAAGTTAATTCCCGCACCCAGCTCAAGATTTGACATATCGTCCCCAAGCTTAAGCACATTACCAAATACAGTAATATGTGCATACTTACTTATTGTTTTCATGTCATCGACTACTTCCAAATTAAAGTTTGTATTTTTTAACAGAAATACGTTTTGCATTTTAGGTGGTTTGCGCGGTACTACTAGCTGTGGCTGTCGCAGTACAGGGTGGGTAAAAAGTTTCTTTCGTTTCATTTTCCTCGTAGTATTTATTAATCCGCCCCTATTTCACGAACAAAATAAAACATCGGAATCGTATTCTTTAATAAAATTCATGCCCGTAAAATGTATTATAGAAACTTGCTTTTCTGTTTTTTTTAATGCACAGATGGTTGGATGGTTAAGTAGTTACCGGAGCCCATAGGCATCTACAACTTAAATGCCGCCACCCACCTTGAGATATGAGTTCTAAGGTCTCAGTATAGTTACAACGGCTGCCTCACCCTTCAAACTGAAACGCATTACTGCTTCATGGCACAAATAGGCAAGGTGGTGGTACCTACCCGTGCGGACTCACAATACGTCCTACCACCAGTAATTACGCAAAATATAATTTTGCGGGTTGGATTTTTATCACACGACTAGCTGACCCGGCAGACTTCATAGTGCCTCAATCAATAAATAAAAGTCGATAAATAAAAACGTCCGACGGGGAACACATCAAAGAAAAAACAAAATTGTTATATTTATTTAATTCCGACTATTTTCATATTTATCTACCTTTTAAACCTTCTCTCTAGACTTCGCAAATAATTCAAAACCAAAATTAGCCAAATCGGTACAGCCATTCTCGAGTTTTAGCGAGACTAACGAACAGCAATTCATTTTTATATATATTATAGAAGATAGATGTCATTCCTTCCTTGTGGAAATCAACCGTGAACATTTATGAAGTACGTATTTCATAAGAAAATTTAGTACTTGCCAGCGGGATCTGAACACCATCGCATCGCTAGATACAAATGCACCGGACGTCTTATCCTTTAGGCCACGACGACTTGGCTAATGGGCGCCTACAGGGGCATACTCGCCCTGCTCCCTATTCCTGCCTATGCCCACTTAAAAGATAGGCCAACCGATTGAAAATTTTTTAAAGTGGCTATGGTGCTATGATATGATATCCATGGACTCTATTAGTGTTATGATGAAACACCAGGCGCGCCTTGAACTAGTTTAGCCATAAATTATTAACAAAAAATATTCTATTTTCTTGGTCAGATTAAATTGCTTGTTATTGGAATTGGAATTATCACGTTTTTCAATGATATATAACTAGAAATTTTTGTTCTACTGTAAATTATGTCGGTAATCCTTAAAAAATAATACAAAACAAAATAACAATAGTTAAGCAAAATCAAACAATTTGGATCTTGTTACTTCTCCAATACGGCCATACCGTAGTTCGTACATAATTTGAATTTGATCTTTAAACTACTACATTTAATGCTACTAAGAATGTGGCCGCCTGTTCTTTAGTGGAGACACAATGTAAACGTGTAAATTGAAAAATTCAAACATGCAGTATAACATCTAATATCATTATTAGCGATCGGGTATTGTCTTATTTTAAAGCACACCATTTGAAATGCTACGGTGAGAATTCGGTATTTTTTTAATATTAGAGTGATTACTGTTATTGTCGATGTAATTATTTCAAATAATTGGGGATAAAAAAAAATAACGAAAGAAAAAATATAGATTGCAGGTAATAAATAATTTTAAATAGAGGATTGATAATAAAATTAGTTCATTTGCAATCAGCTTTTAGTCTAGTATGCTAGTAACGAATCAATCAGACTTTATTTTTTAACTTATTCTCTTTATTTCAGCCCGTCCTCTTGGAAGTGATGAAGTCGGTGCGGTGGTCGATGCAAAAGACAGCCCCGGATCTCTTACTGAAAGCGTTGGTTACGGTACTAAATTTGGAAAATCAGGGTTAGATGATCATGGATTCGGAAACTTAGGGGATGACAAAGTTGTTCAGAATTTTGGAAAACTGGGCCCTGGCTTTGGACGAGGTGGTCCTGGTTTCGCAAGCAATGATGCCGTTGACCCCAAGGAACACATCATAGGGGAACCCGACATCTGATAATTAGTCTTCTGTCATGCCCAAATTAAAATTAATATGTAATAAATGGTTTTTAGTGAAATAAATATTTCAAAATAAATGCGTGATTCATTTATGGGTAAGTGACTCGCCTACAGAAATTAATTGAGTCGGGATCATTTTAAATATGTCGAAACACGTTTAGAGTTAATAGGGATACAATTTGATTTTAGCAGGGTTTGAAATCCTTGCGGCCGGTTTATCTGGACAATATGAGACTAACGATATACTTATATCAAAAGGTGTCACTATGTCGGGATTTAAAACCCGGCGGCAGATCGCGAAACCTTTTAATGAATACGTCCAAAAAGAGCGAATCCAAGAACGAATAAAATCTTGTAGGGAAAAGTCTAACGCGTAAAAATCTTAAGGTTGCTACCTACCGATGGTAGCGGCTAGTGAGGCGGCCACACATTGTCCTTGTTATTTCTAACGCGAAGCATGCATACGCTCCGATTTGAATGAAGGACGGTATAGCCGTTATACAATCCTGTAGAGAGTTTGACCTCACGTCTCAAGGTAAATGTCAGAATTCAATCGTGAATTTTTTTATTTACAAAAATGGTGTCTTTTATGTCTTACCACCGCTTACTGGACCGCGATCCTATAAAGTAATATAAATAAATTGGTACGTGTCCAAATTTTATTTTAGTTTACGGGGTATACAGCCAGCCAACAAGCAACTTCTTCTCGATTATAATTAATTTTAACGCAAAATAATTAAACGAAGTTGAAAAGTCTCACGCACCGAATTTAATTAAAGCTTCTCATTGTTTACCGACGAACTTCGAAGGGGAAGCGTAGAAAAAAACACAGTATCAAAATATTCAGCACGCTGTTTTGATAAATCGGCTGCCTCTCACGAAAACCGTGTGAGGAGCATATTGTTTTGGTCTATCGATTCTCGTGTGAGAGACTAGTTTTGGAGGACGAACATCATTAGTCTACCTAGAGACACTAGAGCTAAATATCTTGTCTTTCGATGGAAAGCCAGACTAGATCTGTGATGCTTGTCGAGCAATCAAAATTCGACCATAATCACTAATGCCGCAAGGTTAGATTTCAAAAGTTCGCCATAACAGTAGGTTAGGCAGTGGCTTGGCTCGGTAGACAGAGGCTTGGCTCGGTAGACAGAGGCTTGGCCCTGCCCCGGCATTGCTGAAATCCATGGGCGATAGTAACCGCACACCATCAGGTGGAGATACAATAAAAAAAACAATGCGGAAGTTTAACTTTCTTTTTTTAATTCACTATCCTACTGTAATAACTTTTGACCTTAGACCTGAGACCTTAGAACTCATATCTCAAGGTGGGTGGCGCATTCACCTTTTAGGTGTCAACGAGTCTACGAAACCACTTAACACCGGTGGGCTGTGAGCTCGCCCACCCATTTAAGCAATAACAAATAAAGCGTTAAAATCTCGATGGTGTTGGAACGGTATCCTGATGATCCTCACCATCAATACGGAGTTTGCCATGTACGATGTTATGATTTGAGGCAATCGAGTTTTCCTTTAGAGGTAGGTACCTATGAACTGTGTTCGTATCAGGAGCCTTAATTGTGAAAGTTGAGCCTTTTGACGGCGAAAACGTTCGGGCAAAGATTTCTTGGCGTTTCAAAAAAATGTAATAAACAATGCGAGGCGTGTAGGCAGCTTTGTGAACGTGTAGCTAGTATAAATAGTATAAAGAGTTCGTGTGAGCTTTTGAAGATTTTTTTATGGTTTCAACTTTCCCTTCCCGGACGTTGATCCCGAGATCAATTGGGAAAATTGACTCCTAAAAGACTTGAAACTAGGATTCGAATTGTAGAAGAAAAGTACAAATGGATGCCTCGCAGGAAAACTTCTATATTTCATGTGCCACTCTCAACAACTTGTTACTAGTGGTAAGACATCTTGAGTCCGCACACGGGTGGGTATCACCACCCTGCCTATTTCTGCCGTGAAGCAGTAATACGTTTCGGTTTGAAGGGTGGGGCAACCGTTATAACTATACTTGAGACCTTAGAACTTAAGTAGAGTGGCGCATTTACGTTGTAGATGTCTATGGGTTCCAGTAACCACTTAACACCAGGTGGGCTATGAGCTCGTCCACCCATTTAAGCAATAAAAAAAAATTAAAAAAGACAAATATTAACTTATGACCTAGGCTTTTTGGTTGAAAACAACTAAAGTATATAAGTTCATAATAACTTCGTTCATCATATGGTTACGCGGTGGGGCTCGGGATAAATAATACTTTTACCGAAGTACAAATAAAAAAAAAATTACACTTAAAACACTTTACAATTCACTTCTGCCGATTCGCTTCCGGTGATCCGTTCGCAGTTTCGCTTCGAGTAGGATCGATAATTATTATTAATTACTTTCATATCATTCCTGCAACGTTTTGATAGTCGACAAATCTACAATTATCAAGAATATTCGCCATAGAACGAATTGTTTCGATATATGTTTCCGCATTTTGTTAAAATAGTATATAAATAAAAAATATTGACTAACAATCACGCCACGTTAACTGGTTCCGTGCAAGTTCGTAAAGTACTTTTGTTACGGAAATAAATGTAAGATTTTTATTATACACATACATACATTTCATATACATCCATAACCCTAGAAAAGACATTTTTATATTTATCATACAAATAACCTCCCTTGGCGGGATTCGAACCCGCGACCCCTTTGTGTAGTGATCATGTTACTTACCACTACACCAGACGGCCGTTATATAATAGATGCCGTTACACTTCTGGAGCTCTCTCGATATTACCAGTTCTTTTGATATTTGTTTCTGCTATTTGATGACAGATGGCGTTACTCTTACCGGAGTAACAATGATATAATTTAGCGAGTTATATTCTAGAAGAAGACGATTTTCCTTCCGAGTTTTCCCAAACGATTTTCTTACATTTTAAGCTTAGCTTAACGTTAGTTCAATATAAATTTCGAATCACCTGCCAATGTTGAGGAATAAAGAAGGGAAAATTTAAAATTAAATCGTGGAAAGATAAATTCATCAATGCCCCGAAAAAGGGTTCGTTTCAGCCAATAAAAAAAAACACAGCTTAGCCCAATTAGGGAATCCGGGGAAAATTGTTTGTTTTTCCAACCGATTGGATATTAAGGTTTCGCGGGGCCAAACAAGCCAGGGGGGATTAAAAATTCGTTTATTTTTACTTTGGCCTCGAATGTGTAAAATAATTCGATTTCGCGTTCGCTTTGCCGGCGAATTATAAATTCAATATTTTTTTTCTGTATGTGCGTGCAAAACGTAAATATATTCTAGCGCCCGGTGAAATATGGGAAGCAATTTATCGCATATGAATAAATGAAGCTTAATTCGATTTTGATTGCTCGTTGTATCTTTCATTAGTGAAATTTTAGGGACATAACTTTTCGTCTGTCGATGATCACATTGATCTCACCAGTACGTATTTCTCCCGAACACGTGCATTCTGGACGTGCTTGCGTGTCTTGCGTATGTATTGAACAGGTAGTCATAATACTGATTCTCTTGCTACGGCCAGTGCTAGCGGTCCTCTGAGCTGACCTACCGGTCTACGCATAGTTGAAATAACTCTTTAGACTAGCAATGATAAAGTAATGAATAGAAAAAAAACAGTAATTAAAATTCCAATTAGTTAACCTAAAATTTGTAGAGCCTTTCGAATCGGACGTAACTTTTTAAACTAAAGTCGTAAAGTACATATTTGGTGACCTGCATAATAAAAAAAGAAAACCTATAATTGTGAAATAAAGCAGTAGCTTACAATTTTGTTTATAATTTCACTCTTCGTGATCTTTATGCAGTCAGCCTATACCTAGTCTTGCCATAAATACTGAGACAAAGGAAAAAAAAAATCTATTGCAAATAACATTTATTACTTTTACAGTGTACAGTAATACATAAATATAAAACAATTTAAAGTATAAAAAGCTTATTCGAAGTGGTCTCCATTGGCTGCAATACTGTCCTTTAAACGTTGAGGCCAGTTATCAATAGAAGCACGCACTCTTTCCATGGGAAAAATTTTCACTGCCAATCGTACGGATTGTTTTAGGGACTCCAAATTATCATGGCGTTTAGAGCAAGCCATACTCTCTAAAACTGACCATAAATCATAATCCAGCGGATTAAGATCGGGACTAGACGACGGCCAGTCTTCAGCTCTGATGAAATCCGAAACATTCGTTTCCAACCAAGACTGCGTAGACCGAGCTTTACGACCTGGCGCCGAGTCTTACTGGAAGGACCATTCATGATTATTGAACATGGTGTTGTTAAGGGGCTTCACTACCTTCTCAAGAATGGTATCTTGATACACTAGTGCCGATGTTTTGATACCTTTTTCACAAAAGTATGGCTCAGTCACTCCTTCATAGCTAATGCCGCACCAAACCATCACTGAAGTCGGATAGTGCCCACGTTGCACTTTGTCGACTAATTGGGAAGCTTCCTTAGAGCTTTGAGCATAAATACGGTCATTTTGTTTGTTAAAATGTTGCTCAATTGTAAAAAATTTCTCATTCGTAAACAATTTTTTTCTATGACCTCCCTTTGCGTACCGCTTCAGTAGTTGTTTCGATTTTACCACCCTATTCTCTTTTAAATTCTCAGTTAAGAAATGACCAGTACGTCTCTTATAAGCTGCGTGTCCTAAGTCATCTTTTAAAATACGCGACATGGTTCTAGGTGCTATCTTCATCTCCCGATATAAAATCTTTTGCTTTCGGACAGGATTTCTTCGAATTCTTTCCCTTACTGCTTTGACCACCTTTTTCGTACGAACACTATGTGGACGGCCAGATCTTTTTCTGTCACAAACAGAGGAGGTCTCGTTGCACCTATTAATAGCCCGGTACACATACATTTTACTAATACCAAGCGTATGGAGATATTAAAAATTGCATTTGGCTCCATACCTACTTTGTGTAATGCAATCACAGCGATTCGGTTCTCTTTATCACTCCACTCCATTT